CTTCGGACGTATCTCGCGACTTGATCGGTTCTCTTATATTTTTTTTTCTCTCTCATTTTTCTTTCCACCTTCGTTTTGTTTCCGCTGCTGCTCGATCTTTCTCGTTGTACTCGTCGACTTTGGGAGACGTGGCACCGACGACAGGGTGGGTTTTGATCGACGGAAATGATGGATAGTGATCGTGATATCGAACAACGATAATAATAATGATATTCACTGCGACGGAATCACTACGAACGAAGACGATGCATGCGTGGCACGAGAAGAGGTAGATTTACATAGGTATATAATTATTACTACTTGCGCTTTATATCTACTATCACGATATATCTCCCGTCTTTTATACTTTTCTCAGTTTCTCAGTCTGCTTGACGAATTTTCTCACGGCTTACGATACACGATTACTCTACTACTATTACTACTACTACTACTACTACTACTACAGCCACCACTATACTACTACTACTACTACAGCCACCACTAAACTACTACTACTATTTCGCTTTCTTACGGCCTCGTATACCTCGTTTCTGATTTTGTGTTTTCGTTTCCACTCTTCTCTCTTCTACACTCACACATATAGGTACACGCGGTCCCTAATGCGAAAAGAAAGATCGTTCCCTGCTCTCTCTCCTTTAAAGCTAACTCCCTCTTCCTCCTCCTCGTTCCTCCCGATAATTACGATCGCGAGCAGCGAGCTTATTCCTTTGAGAGAAAGAGAACGCCGTTGGCGGAAAAACGAGCGTGGTTCCGGGATAAATTTACCGCTCATCCTGCGATTGTCCCGAATACTTTATTTCTCCCACAGCTGCGTTGCACACGAGCTCTGCCCCTTTAATTACTTTAAGCTGGCGGTCATATTGCCGATCGAGTTCTCGGATCGACTTTGCTGGCGAGCAGTTTTCACCTCAAAACTTGGCTGCGATACTTCACGTCGACGTCGAGGATGTCGGTGTAAAAGCATCGAGCTCTCGTGATCTCTCAGAGAAGAACGAATTTAGTAGAGAGGTAGTTGCAGTAGTGTGTCCTTCTATTTGGAGGACAGATCTTCTTGATCTGTCCGCGCACCTGCGAGCTTGTGTTTAACTGCAACTTGGCGAGGAATAAAAAGAGATACGGTCCTTTTACAGTCCGCAAACACACATACACATATACATGTACACGTCACACATACATACATACATACATCATATATTTGACATCGCCCTTGTCAGACTGTCGCGCTATGTTTTGTTCGTTTTTTCCTCTTAATCCTGAGTTGCCCATTGTCCTCCTTGGCATCCTGTTTAGAACAGCATGGCTTCCGGCACTCTTTTAGCTAAGAGTCAGCTACGAGTTCGCGTAAGGGTGGGCTGCCCTGTACATCACGTTTCCACTTGAGCACATTTTATAGACTGCCGTCTTATATACGAGAAAGAGAGGCGTTTGCACATTCGCGCGGTAGCGAGACCCGAGAATCGATATATCTCTCACCTAGCGAGGATTCGCGAATCTCGACCGACTCGATCCCCTTCCCCCCGCCGCACTCGCCGATTATTCGACCGACGGTTGAATAACTGAGAACAGACGAGATAATCGTGTTTCTGATTCATTATTGATGTAGACGTGAGAGAGGTTTTCACGTTCTAGACGTATTTCATGAAAGTACAATGACACTGGCGCAATGCTAATGCAATCGCTGAGATACATCGGACTTTGGAGACTTCACAGATCGCTGTGTAGAGAGTGTATGTTGTAAGCTGCGTAATTTGTTGCGAAATTTTATTGTATGTACCGAAGTCGCGAAGTCACAGGGAAATCGTGAAATCGCACGAGATTAGCCTATATATCACAATCAAAACGTGTCTCTCGTACACAATGCAACACGCTGTACGTTACAAGTTTTGCACACGCGTTAGTTTAGATGATAACGTATAAATAGGGAATGAACACACAGTGTTATCGTTCGTTCGTGCAAAATAGGACACGGTACGGCCCCACATCCCGTCTGCGCTACCTATCTCTCATCTCGTCCCTTTCAAGAGAGTCAAGATAGAATGTCAATATTAGTAATTAGGAGAGGTGGAGTTTTCCTCTAAATTGTCCATTCATGCCAAACGATCAATTTATTCTAACATTCGCGAGACATAACATCAGCGCCGGCAACTTACTCTCCAAATTTCTTGGGGCGATATTTTACACGAAAACTAGAGTGTGTGTATCGGAGTCACTCGAATTTGAGTGATTTCTAACTTATATAAAGCAAATTCTTTGCTTTGACTAGTCGAGTGAATATCTTTATGTGTGAAAAAAGCTCTCTTTTTGTGTCTTTCTGTAACTTCCGTGTACGGCCCTTCTTCTCATCGAGTTGTCTCGGAGTAATTTCTGCCACGATTTTCGAAGCACACAAATTCGTCTCTATTCGGTCATTTCACGTCGCGTGCCGTCGTTCCTTATCCTCCGTAAAACATGACTTTTTCTCCCCGAAGCGATACGTATCGTGCTGCTTATCGCGATTCAATCTAATTGCGCGACACGTGGATTTTCTCTCGTCACCGCGATAAATTCGATGCAACGCGGAATTCCCTATTTTTCCGCACGGAATTCTCCCTCAAAAGCGATTGCGCGCCCATTCGATTCAGCTAAGTATGTCGCAGCGTCGGAAACGAGAAAATTTCCCAGGTGAACCGCATTCTTGCAAAATCATGCGAAAGAGAGAGAGAGAGAGAGAGAGAGAGAGAGAGAAGAAGAAGAAGAAGGGAGAGCAAAGGGGGCTTCGAGTAAAGTTAAAATAAAATTCTTGAAATAGCTGCTGGGCCACGCTAGTCCGGGCACACGTGTCGACGTGTAGCAGCGTCGAAAACAATTTTTCCATTCTCCGCAACGTGCAGTAAAAGCGCTAGATGGACAAGCAACGCCGACCGGCGCGACAGGCGTGTGCATATCCTTGTTGAGAATTCCGTCGAAAATTTTTTATTTACTCTCTCCCTCTCCCTCCTTTTTGTTCCACGGTCGCGCGTCGAGTCGGGCTTCCTCAAAAGGTGATTCTTAATTAACTATTTAATGAGAGCGCAGGAGGAGCTTCGTCGTTTCTGACGTCATAATAGCCGCGTTAACGGCCGTCGCTCTTTCGGGAACACGTCGGAAGCAACGAGCCGTCTAAGCTAAAGTAAGGAGAGAGAAAAAAATGAAAAGGAGAAGATCCGAAAATTGTTTTCAGCAACATAGTTTTAGGGAGCGCCGCGACTCTTTTGCGATCCATCTTCCCCTGCGCGTGGAACAGAAAGGAGGAAAGAAGGGCGGGATTTTTTGTCGAGAAGTTGTGGAGCTTGATAATTACCTCTTTGAATATTAATTGACGGCGGAACTTCCCCGTTACTTCTCTCTCGCGATTCAGCCGGCCGCGAGGATCACGATCCATCTTACGTCACGAATTAACAGCCACGCGGTGTGTTCGCGCTCGCACGTCGGTTATTATCGGCGAAAGGACGGCGCAAGGGAGCGGAGGCGAAATCGCGCGATTTAACGGATCCTTGGCGTGGTTAAGAGCGAAAATAGCCATTATAAGTTCGCCCGGCCTGCCACCCGTGCTCCTCGGCCGTTATAACTTTGTCTATCCCGGCGCTTTCGTCGGAACTTTCGCTCCGGTCCGGAGCTCCGGGGCCCGCGCAAGACGACGCATGCGGCTCGTTAAAACGGCCGTCGCGCGAGCTAAGCCGTCGGACCGGTCTCAGGAAGTCGGGAGTTGACTCCATCGATAGATTATTTTACTTGGTGGCTCGAGGAACGCGAGACGAGGACGACGACGACGACACTGGAAGTCTCGTGCTCGAGGTCTTCGCGCTCACGTGCGCCAATGATGATGATTAATGATGAGTAAGCGACCACGTGCGCCGGGAGATCTCCCAGGACCTTATTCTGAACGCGTGGCGAGTATCAGGAAAAAATGTTTGGATGGAATAACGGATCCATATTTCAGCAGAACGAATCAGAATTTTCCGTTTGAAGTTGCCAAAATTCTGTTCAAGTTAATCATGAATCTTGTCGAACAGAATTCTGGTAACTTCAAGCAGAATTTCTGGTTCGTTCATATGTCGCCAGGAAGTTGGTAGAACCAACCAAACTTCTTTTCCCCTATTACCTTTTTAATGCCAAGTTCTGTTTCTCTTATACGAGCGTCAGATGTTTATGATAACATACAAAACTCTTGTGTAAATCAGGTCAAACGAACAAAAAATTTCGCAAACACGGAAGAAAAAATTTGATTAGGTTAATCAAATATCTAGTGAAATATAAACAGACTAGAAATTCCGCTTAAAGTTACCAGATTTTTGTTCAAGTTAACAAAATTTCTGGTTGTACAGGATATTGTTAATTAGAACACAGAATTCTGGTAACTTCAACAGGGATTCCGGTTTATCAAACACTTGGTTAATCCAACAGAATCTCTTTTTCGGTGAACAACCACGTAAAATTCTGAATTATTAATTAAAAAATATTAACAAACGATGGACTATTCACCTTCTTTAATCTCTAAACTATGTAATTATTTGCAAAATGATAAAAGAATAAATTTTATTTAGTTTAACCTGATCTATATACACACACACATAAGAATTTACATGTCATCGTCAGAGACACTCTGTATGACGTTGCTTCAGTTCGAGAATCGGAAAGGCGTATTTAGCATTCGACACGCGTCCAGAATACGGTTTTTCCTCGTCACAAGAGAGTGAACGAATCGATATCTTTCTGTGAATCCAACCTTGAATCAAAAAGAAAAGGGCTCTCGATCGCGAAGCGCGTCCTCGGGCGCGACACGCACGAGGAAGCGGCAGACGGGTTTCACGTGAATATTACGTACCTTTCGGTGTCGTCATATGACCCCTTCATCCCCCCGGGCCCCGTTCTCTTCGTCCGTACGTCCCCCGCCCTGTGAGCGCATACACGACCCCCCGAGTGATCGTTGTCGCCCGCGGCACCCCATTTTTGAGCGATGGATTTCTTCGTCGTTGTTGCAGATGGGCAAGCTGGGAAGTAACCCTCTTGCTGGCTTGGCAGCATTGGGCCTCGGAGGACTGGCTACACCGGCGAATACTGGAGGTCTTAATCCAGCAGGTAAGCAAACGACAGAGCGTAGCCGGCGGACTCTCGCAATTACTCGCGCGGGGCGAGCACTCATTAACGTTACTCTCTCTCTGTTTCTCGTTAGGAAGCTGATGCGGAAAGAATTGGCAATGCGCTTGTTTCTCTCGCGTTCCACTTTACACGGCGTGATGTACACAAAGTCTTGGTTCTTTTAGCTGAATTAGTGCTGCACTAGAACTTTGTCCCTTTTTTCTTCGCGACTCTAAATTATCGATTTTCGATCTTATATGTGTAAATATTGAGAAAATTGCACATTCGGCATCTACACAGGAAATGGTTAAACGTTTATGATTTTATGTACGATAAGTTACGACTAGTGTAGCGGTTTAACTTTCGTGTTTTCCTAGCGAAACGTGTTTGACACGTGTCTTTAGGACATCGGACTGACCCAATGGTTCCATAAAGTTGTCCTTAAAGTGAATATACGAGCAAATGATAGATTTAATTTGAAACTCTGTTCGAAAACACTTGTCAGAGACAAGTTTACTCTTAAATCCGAGTTTAAACTACTATTGAAAAATTATCCCTAAGAAATCGACGTGTGTAGGAGAAATCAAAGTAGAGATATTTTTTTAAATATCTATCGAAAGTTATCTTTGAATTTTCAAAAAGTATATATATTTTGTAAATATTTTTGCTATTTTTTAAATTTATTGCTATTATTTCTTTGTAAAATTCCTTGGCTTTGCAAGGAAACTTCTTTGGGCGAAGACTATTCATAAAAAATTTTCTTATCAAAATCAGTGCGTCAGAGTACGTGATGTTCTCTTGTTAGAGTTATCCAAGTCGTTGTCTCTTCTGCTTGGCTATCAGTCTTTCTTGCGAAACGTTGACTGTATCTGGAAAAGTTGACTAGACGAAGTGGGTGTATCAGGATGTGCGCTTGAAATCGGGAATCACGATCAGTTTTAAAGCCATGCGACGTTCATCACCAACTCCTCGCGAGCAAACTTTATCGATCAGGAAACATCGCGAGAGAGAGAGAGAGAGAGAGAGAGAGAGAGAGAGAGAGAGAGAGAGAGAGAGAG